GTGCATCATTCAGTTTGTCCAGCTGATTACAGTAGACTTTCGAATTAATCGTTGTGTTATCCGGTAAAAGCTCAAAAAAAAAAACGATTCCTTTAAAATCCCACCAAACAGACAGCATCACCTTTTATTGGTGAATATCGGCTTTGGAAATGGTTTGAGCCGGTTCATCTTTTTTGCTCCATGACCTCTTGCGTTTGACGTTGTTGTATACAACCCATTTTTCGTCCCCAGTGATGATGCGCTTCAAAAACGAATCATATTCGTGACGTTTGAGAAGCGAATCGCAGACGTCAATGCGTCGACACAGATTTCTCTCTGTGTACATCGAGCTTCGAGAATAATCTCAGGCCTTTCAAGTGGTCATAAACTGTTGAATTTGATAAATTTAACCTCAATCCGATCTCACGTGTTGTTATTCGCCGGTTCACATCAACTAATGCCTTTATCGCGTCTTTATCAGCTTCTATCCTCTGTCGGGATAAAACGAAATGACTTTCCGAACAACCCAATCTTTTTCAATCCCACAAAATAAACTTTAGAAAATTAGAAAATTGCAGAAACCTATCATTAACCACCAACAGACAAAAAAATTAATCTACCTACTTGGAAAAACTACATAGTGATCTTGACAACAAAATCTTGTTTCTTTTTAGAAAAAAATCCTGAACATTTAGATTTTTCTAATTTTTATTCTAATTATAAAACAAAAAAGTTCTTTTAGTTATTTGACATTCAAAGCCGCAACCTTGAAATTCAACCGTAACACTTTCGAGTTTCTGTAAAGCATAAAAACCAATGTTCAATGTTGATATTGGTTAGTATTGTTTGACTTAAGAGACACCACTTGATGAGTTGCTCGAATAATACACATTGAATAAAACGAATTTCATGTACTGGATCATTTTAGTCTAATTATTTTTTAACACCCTGTTTCACATACACAGACATAATATTTAGAAGTTGTAAATTTGGCAATACAATTATTTCTATTTAACAGTAAAAGGGATTCATATTTATGTACTGTTATATATGTGAAATAGACTGATTTATATTTGATTTTAAAAATAATGACTCTAAACTGTTCTAATGGTTCTTTCTATAGAGGCTTAACTTTTGGTTGGTTGTGTTGGTGGTTAACGTTAAATCGGTTATAGATTTTTATGCTCATAAGGATTTTTAAATAAGTTCAAATTTTATTTAATAAAATAATTTAAATGTGATTGCTGAAAGAAAATTTTCGTACATCATTATTCCTCCAATTATTCGTCAATTCTGTAATAATCCATACTAACCAGCATATTCACTTAAGTAAGCGTAATGAGAACGCCTTCTGGCTAGATAGAGCGACGATCTGAGCAAAGCACTAGGCAGCTGGATTTGTAAATCCCCTGATGATGATAATACTGATTTTTTTTACGGAGTAAGGGTGACATAAGAGCACACAGTCCACCTGATGGTAAGTGGTGTGGCCCATAGACATATATTATGTTTATCTTCAATTAAGTATCAAAACGCAGATGTGACCCTGAAGACTAATATGTAATGCCTCGTTTCTAGTAAAATGGGTTTCCAGTTCTCTACACTCACCATACCTACAACACAGCAGCATTAAGCTGCTATTTTACACTGGTATTCTGTGAGAGTGTAGTCCTACCTCGGTCAATTCCGACCCATTCGTGCTACAACCATAATATAGCTACAGCGTGAATCAAAACATACAAATGTATAATGAACCAGAATATATTTAAACATGTTAAACTTTCAACTATAGTCGAAAATCGAAATATTACAGCTTATTTCGATAATAAAGTTGCCGCTGAACTTCGGTCATAAATCAACACTTCTTCATGGCATTTCAGCACGTTCAAGAAATAGTCGCGAGTTGGGCTGAGGATTTGATCGGATGCTCACTGGTACTATATCGTGCGGTCGGCGCTTCTAACCAAGCTGCGCTATTCGGGAAGAATTCGCCGTTAAAAAGAGACGACCTCCGTGTTAGGGCGCTGCCATTCCCCACTAGGAAGCCCACATATAAGGAAGTCAAGAGAGTGCACGAGACTGTTGCAAGCATAGAAGTATATGGTAAGTTGGTAAATATAATTCTTTAAGCTCTTTTGCACCATAGCAGAGGCAAAAGAGAGAAATTAAACAATAGATGAACAGCAGCATCTTCCTGACAACAAATGTAAGAAAAAAACTCCGGTTGCCAACTCGCTTGCCAAGCATGGCACTATAGTAAATATCATTTAAATCCTTTTTACTGGAAATGAGGCATTCCACGTTAGTCCTCAGGAATGACAACGCATCTGCCTTTTGATTCATAACTGTGGATAGATTTAGATGTCTATGGACAACAGGTATCCACTTACCTTTAGGTGGAGTGTGTGCTGATCTGTCACCCTCATTTCTATAAAAAAAAATTCATTTGAGGCAATATATAGGGAGACCTATGTTCAGCAGTGCACTTAATTAGCTATAAGACAGCTCATTTGTGTTATATATACAAATACCTATCAGGATAGGTACATACAACCTTCTCAATTACTGATTTCTGCTACTGAAGAACAAATGCATTTACTGCCATGTTTCATTTTGAGTAGTAGTTATTTGTTTGTTTGTTTTGTATCCAAAAGCTACAGAAGCCATTTGCTATTAAAAAAGATGCAGTATTAAAAGAAAAATATATTTATTCCATACTGGATTACAGTATGATGCCGGCAGTTAAGCCAAAAAATATGAAGTTTGTTTATGAATCATTTTTTCGAACACACTTCTTTTCATTTACAATGTCGTTACCCATTTGGCTAATTGTATTTATACGAGGGCGGCACTGAAAATTTCGGGAATCAAGGAAGTGACACAACATTACTATTTAAAAATGTATTTATTGCTTTTCGAAGTATTCTCCGCGAAATTTGACACATTTTTCCATACGATGGAACCAATCATTGAAGCAACCATTCCATTCGGAAGTTGGGGTCTCCAAAATGGCCGTTTTGTAGGCGTCCACAGCTTCTTCAGGTTATGAAAATCTCTGTCCACGCAATTTATTCTTTATTTTAGGGAAAGTATAGAAATCATTAGGGCTTAGGTCGGGGCTGTACGGCGGATGGTCTAATAATTCTATGTTTTCTTGCTCTAAAAACTCTTTTGTTCTGTGTGCAGTGTGAGAACTCGCATTGTCGTGATGGAGGATGATGCGGCGGTTGCAGTTCCCTTTACGGAGTTCAGAAACAACCTGTGGCAAACAAATGCTAGCATACCATTCTGCATTAACCGTTCTTTGTCCCTCAAGATGAATAGTCGTAACGTGGCCGGTTTTAGAGACAAACGTGGCCACCATTTTTTTTGCAACACTCCGTGAACGAACAATTTTTGTTGGCTTTAACTCATTTTCGAACACCCAAACTCGAGACTGATTTTTTGTTTCGGGTTCGTACGCGTATATCCAGGATTCGTCACCTGATACGATGTTGTATACAGCATTTGAGGATCCTGCGTGGAATCTTTCGAGAGTTCTGACGCACCAAGTAACGCGAGCCGCTTTTTGCTCTTCACAGAGCGATTGCGGTATCCATCGGGAAAACAACTTTTTACACCTAGTTGTTCATGCAAGATTATTTGTATTTGACTCATGCCAATGTCTAAAGTTGCCTGAATTTCGCGGTATGTCACATGTCGATCTTCCTCAACCAGCTTACGCACAGCATCAACGTTTTCTTGGGTGACTGCAGTTTTTGGACGACCTTGACAGGGATCATCACTGAGCTTGACACGTCCACGTTGAAATTCAGCAAACCAGCGATAAATTGTGGTTTTGGATGGGGCTTCATCACCAAATGCAGAAATCATCCGGTCAACACACTGTTTTTGTGTTAAACCACTTCGAAAGTCATAATAAATCATCGCTCTTGAATTTTCTCGTGTCAATTCCATTTTCTCAACGACTAAACAAGTTTGACAAAATCTTGTGACAAGACCGAGAATCTTTTTTTAAATAAATAAATGGTATTCGATTTTTAAAACCAAGGACTTTTCAATTAAAAAGATTTTAATATGACAGGAACAGTGGAAATATTCCATTCCCGATACTTTTAGTGCAGCCTATGTAAGTTATAAATTATATAAGTATAACATTACAATAATAACAATGTAAATAATAGAAATAATTTTAGACTTTAAGAACCGAAATAGTGGCAACCACAGCAAAAGCTGCAGCAAGTAGTAACAGCGCAGTGATACCTAATGTCTCGTATAATAATTAATAATATCATTTATGCGGAAGTCCATTATATTGATGAACGTTAGTATAATAAGAAATAAATTAAAAGAACCTTACGCAGTTATTACTGTGCCGTGATGTGGATAGCTCAATTTGACTTAAAATTCATTGTATGGGAGCAAACCTTGTTCTCTATCCCCAGTGTCACCACTGAATTTGTTACCTGCAATTTTAAATGCTGCTTTACCACCTGCTCAAAGGAAAATATCGTGATGATAGATAGATTGGTAGTAGTTTAGTTATATCTATAAAACCTGCATGTCTGAAACTTGTATAGTTCTATTTATTAGTTTATGTGAATGCTTATGCAAGTAAAATAACACCTGGCCACACAAATCTTTCAGATACCAGTTTGGCTGTGGCGTTCGCCCCAGGATGATTCAGAGAATGAAGGCTTTCAAACACTTGTTTTCGAAGTTCCTTTGTTACGTATGGCCTCGGTGGATTGCTTCTCTCATCGCAGTACAGTTCAGTATGAGTACCTGGTATTTTAAGTTTTTTGAGGCATAAGGAAGTACTACTGTTCAGGAGTTGTTGTAGTTCTGCGTCGGAGACTTGAGCTTTAGCTAACACTGTCATATCAATGGGCTGAGTAATGTCTTCGATTCTTGATAAAGTATCAGCTACCACATTGTTCTTTCCTGAGATGTGTCTGATGTCAGTAGTAAATTGAGAAATAAAATCGAGGTGTCTGAACTGTCTTGGTGAGCAATTTTCTTTACGTGAGTATTTCACTCACGTAAAGAAAATTGCTCACCAATATATGAAATGCGTAACAAAGGGGCTTATGGTCTGAATAGATAGTAAATTCTCTAGCTTCCAGCATATGCCTAAAGTGCTTGATAGCTTCATAGACAGCTAGAAGTTCGCGATCATATGGCGAATACTTTTTTTGTGCTACACTTAGCTTTTGTGAAAAAAATGCAAGTGGCTGCCATGAACCTTCCTTACGCTGCTGCAATACAGCACCAATTGCAGTATCAGAAGCATCCGTCACCAAAGCTATTTTAGCAGAACAATCAGGATGTGCTAAAAGTGTAGCTTGGCATAAGCTCTGCTTGCATGATTCAAATGCTTCTATTTGTTCCGTGGACATCTGAATCGGATGAGAACCTTTAACTGCACCTGTCAAGAGTTCGTTCAGAGGCGCTTGATACTTAGCTGCATTGGGGATGAATCTTCTGTAAAAGTTAAGCATGCCCAAAAATCTTCTTAACTCTTTGACGGTTTTTGGTCTTGGAAAGCTTTTAATCGCTTCTACTTTGGATGGTTGTGGCTTCGAACCCTCTGCTGAAATATGATAGCCTAAAAATATAACCTTGTCGGACCAAAATACGCATTTAGCTGTGTTTATTACCATCCCAAACTTCTTTAGACGAGTAAAAATCTGACGAAGGTGATCTTTATGTGTCTCATGGTCCTTTGAGTACACTAAAAAGTCATCTAAATAAGCATAGCAAAAATCTAGGCCACGAGTCATTTCATCTACAAAGCGCTGAAATGTTTGCGCACTATTACGGAGCCCAAAATTCATGTACGGGAATTCGTAAAGTCCAAAAGGCGTTGTAATAGCAGTTTTAGGAATATCTGCTTCGTTGACCGGAATTTGATTGTAGGCTTTCACTAGATCTAACGTTGTAAATATTTTACAACCGGAAATATTGTGAGCAAAATCCTGAATATGGCGTATGGGGTAGCGGTCTGGAATTGTTCTAGCATTCAGTGCTCTGTAGTCACCACATGGCCGCCACCCATTATCCTTCTTAGGTGTAAGATGCAATGGCGACGACCATGGTGATTTTGAAGGCCTAGCAATACCAACCTTTAACATTGCTGCAAACTCCTCTTTTGCTATTTTTAACTTATCAGGCGATAGTCGCCTAGGTGTACAGGCTACCGGCGGCCCCGGAGTGGTTCGGATGTGATGCACTGCATTGTGCTTAGACACACCCTGAACCCCTGCTGGGCGTGTCATATCCGGAAACTCTTTTAAGACATCATGATAAACCGAATCACCAGTAACAATCTTCACAGAAAATATATCTAAATTAGCAGGCAAAGCTATGGTGGAGAGTGATGTGACGCCGTCTATAAGGCGTTTATTTCTACAATCAACAATCAAATTGTAAAATGACAAAAAATCTACACCGATAATTGCTTTTGTTACATCTGCTACCACAAATTGCCAAGTAAAGTCACGGCGCAAACCTAAATTTAACGTTAAATGGATATACCCATAAGTATTTATTACAGAACCGTTAGCTGCACTTAGTTCATAATTAGTTTTTCGCATATCCTCTTTAATATCCGCTCGCGGGAAAACACAGAGATCGCTGCCTGTATCAACGAGAAACTGCATCTTCGTATTGCGGTCAGTAATGAATAAGCGACCGGTACTTGGGCAATCGTAGGTCGCCGTTATCGATTGCCTTGCACATTTCCCGACTGAGAATAGTCACAAGGTTTAATGCACTTACTTGCACGATCGCCGTATTTACTATGATACCAGCACGTAGGGAACCTCCTGTGACTGGAAGGAGATCTGGTGTTGCTTCTCGGGCGGCTTCTACTTCGTAATCTAGGACGCCTCTTGTTTAAGTGAGTTGTTAGGGTCTTCATTTGCCTGGTGAGCTCAGCTATTTGACCTTCCAATTTCTGTACTCTGTCCTCTGGTGCATGGCTTGATGTAGATGCTACTTGTGGATACGGAGGAACCACGTCATGAATTTTGTCCGCTAGCTCTGCTAGTGCTTCAAGGGAAGTGGTCGTTTGTGACACGATGATTGTTTGCGTGCTATTTGGTAATCGACTCATCCAGATAGTTCGAAGAAAGTCATCAGGTATACCTGGTCCAGCCAAATGTTGCAAGTGCCGAAGGAATTGCGAAGGTTTTCTGTCACCTAACTCTTCGTGCATTAGTAATTGTTTCACTTTTCTGTCTCTCGAAGCCGACAAACGTTTAATTAATTCTGTTTTTAACTTTTCGTATTTCTCTGTATTTGGAGGGGCGATAATTATATCCTCGACTTCTGATGCATATTGTGGTTCGAGTTGACTTACTATGTAATAAAATTTTGTTGCATCTGCTGTTATATTCGATATCGCAAACTGTCCTTCGATTTGCGCAAACCAAATTGCTGGTTTTTCTGGCCAAAATGGCGGTATTCGTACGCCGACTCGACAAACATCAGATGATGAGGCGAGACTTTGTTCGGCGGCTTTTTGTTTCTCACTCATATTTATATTGTGTACTTTTACGGGGTCACCACTTTATAGTTCTATTTATTAGTTTATGTGAATGCTTATGCAAGTAAAATAAAATTCAATAGTTTTTAAGGTTGAACAATTATAATTTATACACAAGTCTTTCACAACAACACAGAAGGAGAGAATAGAGTGGAAAGTATAAGCATAGAAATATCACAGAAAGCACGAATATAAGAAGTCTTACGTAAACTTATTAACTATACAGTAATGTCTTAACACGAATAAATGGGCGAACAGTATGGCATACGAAAGCGTACTGGTTACTGGTGGCACAGCGCAGGGCAAGCGATCGGAGCAAGGACGGCCAGCGGTGAACCGGTTTGCTGGTGACATCGCGCCATCGGACCGACCGCCGCATTAGAACAATAGCCACTGCTAATATTTATGTACATATAATAATTTTTGTAGTACTGTCTGTTTGTAATTATAACATTTATATTTATGTACAGATTATTTAAATTTAAAGATGATATGTAATGAAATTACTTAAAGTTGCTTATACATTACTTAAATTATAAATATTATATTAATATTTTGTATACCACACTTGCATGTCTATGAAATTACTATTACCTAGTACATTTCTTTCACTTTTTTTTCAAAGTAGATATATATATATATATATATATATATATATATATATATAGAGAGAGAGAGAGAGAGAGAGTAGTGTACAGTGAGGGGTGAATGTGTGGGGCCTTGTCAAGCATAGGCGACCAGCTGCTGCCGAGTTCCAGGCTGCTCCAAAATGCTGCCACACTGCTTCAGACTGCTTCGGCGCCGGACCACAGTCACTTTCTTCTTTCGTCACGTTTACAGTCAATTAACTCTATCGTGCGATTAACTAACTTACAGAAGCCACTAACTATCGCGGGGTATAAGGTTACCGCACAAAACACGCACGGAGTTTCTGGATCAAAGGTCACTACCGTTTCGCGTTGCATCAGTTAGTTCTAGAATACAGAGGCCGCACTAGCTAATATTGTCGAATGCACTTATACAGATTCTGAGTCGGACCCAATAAGTCCCGGGGAAGCTCTCCAGTAGGGATACGCGCCACAAAATTCCTAGACCGTATTTTTCCTGTCCGCGCTTAATTATTCCGAGTTCCCGCGCTTAATTGGCAGCGTGCCAATCGTGAGCACTGCCTAAGGACGACTGACTGCCCTTGGGCGTTTTTCGCACGACCGAAAGTCAAACCGGTATGACTGCACCGCGCCGAGTGCCCTCTCGCGTCAATCCTTGAAAGTGTTTGGCGCGAACAAACCCCCGTCCCGGACATAAGAATTTAGGTCCGCGAGCAAACCGGTCAGCGGGACATGGTCGCGAAGGCAAGTTGCAAGACCGAATCTACAACTAAACTAGGCCACCTTAGGCACCCCATCAGATCTTGCAACCCTAACCAGCGCCTCAAAAAATAGCCCTAATGTGGCAAGCCGGAGGGTCAGTCTCCACTGGATGCCCCTCCTGGGCATCGCAGCACTTTAACAAGTCCTGTACTGGACAGAAGTCCGACGACCTCTTTCAAACACCTATCTGTGCCCCTATGATTGGTTCCGCAATCCGACCGGATCAGCTCTGCAAACAGCGACGCGACACGAAGCGGCCACGAGCGGCCTCCTAAGCTTCAGTGCAGAGAGCACCCACAAATTCCACATGAACGTCGTCTGTGGAGAGCCGAACGAAACGCACAGATAGTCCCTAGTATGAATTTTCAACAAGTAGGCCTAGCCAGGCCACCCACCATATTATCATTTACTAAAATAGTGCGGCAGCTGATTTCAATCTGATAATCTCCAAAACTAGCTAGCCTGTTAGGCAAGTAGTCCTATGCTCATATTTCAACTAATTTATCAAAAGCATCAATGTTCAACTACAGAATTAATTCAACCAAATTAATCACCGATGCGCATAGGTCAACTTGCAAACTAAACAAAACAATAACGTAAGGGACAGCCCTACTTCTTCGCAAAGCAAAATGATTAAACACTATCTATGTATATGTTACATAATTTTTCAAATAGCGTGCCATTCAATTTCCTTTCAGCAAACAGACGCAACAATCAAATACAGTGATTAAATATATGTACAAAACACATGCAGTAGCATTTAAAGGAGTAGATTAAATTCAATTCTTTTAATTTAAACCGCTACAAATAGGAAAATTTCGCGGAAAGCCCAAAGCAATTTTTAATTTTAATTCAAGTATTTTTTGACTAAGTGCTCGACCAAACCAAATCTAATACCCCTTGACAGCGTTATTCAACGCTCCAGAGGGGCCCTAATCTTCCCACCACCAAGTGGAGGCCACATGGCGTGAACCCGAGATCGCTAACAGTCGCCACTCGGGTTGTACGCCTTCACTGAGGCCGTCGGCAACAGAACATTTTGACAAATGGACTGTTGACGGCTTAAGGCTCAGTGGAGGTGGCCGTGGTGGGAGCTAAGGCGGCTGCTAGCCAGGGCCGCCTCCATCAAATGGGGAACAGTGGTACACCAGTCGCGGCCACTCAGCTAACGGGAGTGAGAGGGGTCCAGCGGACCGATGAGTGGCCGTGAAGTTCCTCTCCACACGCTTAGGGGGGGTGATGACACCCCCGCCCCTGGGGGAATTACCCCCCGACTGGTCGGGGGAGGGACCCCTTTCAAACTTAGGGGCCTGATGGCTGGCCGGCGGGCGCCGAGAGTCACACGGCAGAGGGCGTGGCTGAGCGCCCCCGCCCGTGGGGGTCGAGGGCCTGGCAGAGCCCTGAGAGGAGACGCCGTTCGCACTCAGGCATAAAACGGCATGATGATTGCCCTGGCAATGCAGACAGGGCCGCCGATGCGGACAGTCTCGCTGGAGGTGTCCTCCCAATCATGAGCAGCACCAGCGGCGCTCCTTGGCGATAGTTCGCCTCGCTGGAACCGGCTTACCTAATAATTTCGGGCACGACGTTACCCGGTGATCAGATGCTCGACAATAGGAGCAGGGGGGGGTTGACGACGACTTGCCTGGAGGATTCAGCCTCTCACTGGGCACGGCTCGTAAGTCGTCAACGGTGCCCGCCGCGTTCTCTATCTGCCGGCACTGCTCCTCCAAAAACCTCAGCAGGTCATAGAAGGGCGGAAGATAGGAGGCCTCGTCCCCGTCGTACCTCTCCTCAAAATGGATTCGAAGGTCGAGAGGTAGACGGGACAGCACGATGCGGAGCAACAAAAAAGCCCATTCGCCCACTGGTAAATCCAGCCGCCTCAACGTATCACAGGCCACCAAGACTGGATCCAACAGGTCCGGACGCAGTCTGGCCCGGTCACTAAGCAGCGGGAGGCTTAGAAGCTGCTTAACATGTTCATCCGCAATTCGCCGGACGTTGGCGTATCTTCTGGCTAGAAGGTCCCGAGCAGTCTGGTAGGCGTCGTCCGACAATCTCAAGTGGCCGACGACGCCCAGGGCCTCCCCCTCCAGTGAGGCCAGGAGGTACGCCTTCTTTTGGCTCGGGGTCAGGTCACTCCGGGCGTCCACTAGGCTGTCGAAAAGACCAACGAAGGTCAGCCATTCGGAAAGGACCCCGGAGAACTTTGGCAGGTCCAGAATCTGGAGTCGTCCCAACAGCTCCGGCTGAAGCTGCTTCAGAGAGGACTCGGACAGGTCACTCATCCGAGCTTCACGGGCCTCCTCGGCATACCTGCCTTCAGCCTCGATCAACTCGTCCGTGAGCCACAAGAACTGCTCGTAGTCCGCGAAGCAGGAGTCCAGGACTCCCTTCTCCACATCCGAATCCTCGAGCTCAGCGTAAGCCTCCTCCACTGCGGCCCTTCGAGCATCCACCTGCTCGAACCGCTTCATCAAGTTATGGACCCTATCCGGTCGACCTATCAAAGCATGGGCGCTTGTGGCCCAGCGTAGCTCAGTACGCAAACAACGGATCAGTAGCTTGGGCGATGTCATCACTATTAAATGCAAATTACGACGCGGCTTGAGCACAGATTACAAAGATAACAAACAAAAAATACAACAAAAATCAACAGTTAATAAATGCAGTTCCTATCAAATCGCGTTGAATAGAAATTACATAAATACGAATTACTACGTATCAACCAAATACAAGT